CATGCTGTGAGAGACTGGGCTACTGGCTACTGAGTGAAGATAGAGCTGCCTCGCTCATCCGTTTTTCTTCATTTCATTTTTTCCACCTTTTACTTGTCTCTAATCATCTTAAGATTCAGCTGAGTGACTTGTGACACACACACACACACACACACACACGTACAGAACGGCTTGGTTTACAACCTCTGACAAAACCCTGTAGTCTGGCTGGCAGACGCACAGACAGGGTTTTATTTTTTCCATTTTGAATCCACCAGAGACACATTTGTGGAGACAACTGCTGCATGGCACAGGTCTCAGCAGACGCTCCGGTTAAACATTGACATTTGGGTGACACAATTCACTTGGTTTATGACCGACTAATCTGGTTCATGCTGGGAGATATGTCCAGGTCTTTACACGTAGACGACAATATATAGACGTGTTTTTAAGCGATCAGGAAATCATTTTTTTCTGTGTAGTACCACTGCTGACCAGCAGAGGTTCAAATACATTGCAGCTGTCTGTCACTTCTACTTCTAATTTTAACTTAAAGAGGCTGACTTTAAAGGTTTGCCCATATATTGTACGACAATACAATACAATGATGCCATGGCCACCAGGGCGGCGCTATGTAGCCTACCAAGAGTGGGGAGAATCCCACAAGGCTGTGCTATAAACAAAACTGCCCTTAAGGCAAATTCTAATTGCAACAGTGATAACATAAATTATATTTTCTTTAACTTGTACAGCAATAATTCTTTCTTTCAATCACAGAAAAAAAAAAAAAAGGTTTGTCAGGAGTGGGATTTGAACCCACGCCTCCATGAGGAGACCAGAAATCCCATTGCACTGGAAGGCTTTAACCTTGAGTCTGGCGCCTTAGACCACTCGGCCATCCTGACACACGTGGTACTTCCAATCACATGAAATGGGTAGGCAATACAAAGTGGCCTACATGTCAGTGGTGACCCTCTGATAAATCATTATCTCTTCACATCCATTACCAACTCTTAATCTTCCTAAATGGCAAAAACGTAATTAACTTTTAAAAAGTTTCAGTGATCATCATCCTGGCTCCTGTTGCACACAAAGCTTATAAAAAATGTCCATCCAGGCTCCTGTTGCACACAAAGCTTATAAAAACATTTAAAGTTTGATTAAAACAGCTTAGCAAATCTTTTAGTAACAATCCATTTCATGTGCCATTAGTTTCGTTTAGCTACATGCTAGCATGCTAAAAATAAGAAAACAAGAGATTAGCTAAAACTGTGTTGAAAACTACCCAAACCGACCCTGAAAAACAGGATCCTAATAAATGAAGTTTATTTCCCACCCAGGTGGTGACCACCGCGTACGGAGGCGGATGACGTCACTCACGTCACGCCAAACCCAGCAGACACGGAAAGTTTGTCAAGCCCTTTAATCTCTGCCTGAGGTTGTTTGAAACTCAAGGTGTTTGCAGTGTCATTATAAAGCTTGGTATTCATGTCAGGATCCCTGTTTTGAAAATGCATGACACGGTCTGTGCTTGGGTACCAAGGACGTAGGTGTCGGCAGCCACAAGGGACAGTAAAGTTAACTGCTTTGTTTGTGCCCTTGATGAGGAAACACAGAAGTCACAGCAGGCAGTTGGGGTTTTTTTTTTCTGGACAATTCTGGAAATCTTGTTAAGTTTTATAATGCTCAAATCAACATTTACACCGAAGATCTGCGTCTGATTTGACGCTCCGACTTTCTCCTAATTTGACCCATATGAAAAGCAGTTTTATGAAGCGCCGACATGAAAGTCCTGCTGTGAAAAGTATATACGTGCTAATTAAACTAAGTAAAATGGAACATGTGAAAGCTTCACAGGAGCCACACTTCAATGATTTCTTTTAAAAGTATCTTACACCGACCTTACATCACACATGCTACATTAATTATAAACATCTTAAGCGGTAGAGTAGCTGGGTAGGAAATTACCTTTTTAACAAGAACTTTTTTAATGCCAAAGTTAAAAAGTCATTTTGGGTCACTATTGAGTTACATTTAAAGTTTTTCACTACCTGTAGCTGACTTTTTGCTAATTTGCTATGTTTCAGCCAGCTTAAATATTAGCCTTATTTCTGGGCTAATCGTTCAGTCAATCGTTAGTTTGTATGTATCAGTATTTTTTTACAAATAAGTAAAGAGTAAATAAGAAGTAACAAAATACTAAACTACTGTCTTTTGTATGGGATTTTGAGTTTATGGGATTCAGCCCCTGCTGGGCAGCAGTGGTATCGCAGCTGCACAGCAGGAGGTGTAACAGACCAATCCTGTGTAGACTTAGTTTTAATAAACATGTTAGTGCTACAGAGGCCTTGATGGACATTTGGTCATTTTGGGCTAATGTTTTGTCACTTTCAGCTATTTCCGGGAAGATTTTTTAGATTTTCTTTTTTGTTACCGTGTCTAATTGTAAAAGCGGTTTGGTTATATTTTTTAAACATTTCAATAATCAATGAAAACCATACTGCTTTACTACTTACATTGGTGGGATCTGGATGGGCATCTAGCTGTTTTCTGTCCAATTCAAAGATATTTTGATGCATTATTTTACTACTACTACAGTATCTGATTTATATGCTGTCAGACATTTTAAGAGCATGGCTCGGCGTCGTCTAATTCTCCAGAACAGTTTAGTCTTTGCGTTTTAAATGCATCACTGCAAGGTTTTATGTGGCCCGGACAAACAGACGAGAGGCCGGTGTCCGGGTCTCAAGTGTTTTCCTGTCTGGGCTTAGACGTTGCAAAAACACGTCACGTTGTGTCGCTGACGTGAACATGAAAAGTCACCATGACAATTTCCAGGGCACTGGCTCATCGTCCCCGCTTATTTCTGGCTCAGCACATGCTGATTTGGGCAGAAATAAGATCCACACAATTTTTCCATTACAAAGTGAACCCATGTTTATTGCACATATCTGTGCTTCAGTCAGATCCTTTCCTGCATCACTCGAGTGATTATGGAAAGATTTAGTGAGTTGTGGTCATGACTGTGTCCCCTCCAGCTAGAGAGTGCTATTTTTATATATGTTTATGGGACACATACGCCATGGTTGGGTGGAAAACCTGCAGGGCTGCTCGTGATTACATAAGAACACCTATTTGTTCTTTTCAAATATAAATATTAGACTGGGTGTGATGTATAAATAGAACCTGCCTTCACTAGTGTCGTGCATTGGCATCGTCCCTTTACTTCAGACTCACTCAGAATGACGTTGGCATTTTTATAACCTGGCAGAGACGATAAAGAACTCCTGTGTTCTACTAAAAAAAAAAAAAAAAAGAATGTCAAATTCGGAAAATGTTCATTTGATGTGACTAACTACGCTGAGCTCCCTCTGGTTAAACTCTAAAATGCAATACTGCACGGAGCCAAGCTGGTGAATCCTGCCTCCCTATTTCTTACAGTTTAGCCGTGCGAGGAAGCGATATAGGAACAATTACAGAAACCATTCAGATCCTTCGCAGGGAAGAGACTTGCTGTCAGTTGTGCACGACTGGTTCTTTTCCATGTAAAAACCCCTGTTTCTTTTCTTTTTTTTGCTGTAGCTCCTCTGCCTCTCTGTTATCTCCACCTGATCACTATTTTCCCTGTTTCTCATCAACTCTCCCTCTCTCTCTCCCCCAAACACTCTTCCACACTCCACTGGCTTCAGCAAACGGCTCCCCTGTCATATTATCACACACGTGTGCGCGCGCACACACACAAGCGTGCGCGTGCACACACACACACACACACACACAGAGAAGGGAAGGGAAGAAGCATATAAAAGATATACTGTTTTCATGTAAAGGCCACACGTGTGAAGACACACATTCTCGTGTCCATGTCACAGTCACACACACTTAGACATGACAAACACGTGCATACAAACACGCACGAACCCAGGTTACCAAGAGGGGGCGCGAGGGGGGGGTGGGGGGAACAGAACAGAACTACTATTTTCCTTGCACCTTCTCTGCTGTTACACACAGGAAGCAGTAAAAATTATTCTTATAAATACAGATTTTTTTTTTAACGTGACACTCAGCCACCTGACATCAACAAGATAGCACATTTTCCCAATTGCTGTTACACACTTAGAGGAAGCAGTAAAAATTATTCTTTTTTTTAACGTGACACTCAGCCACATAACATCAACAAGATAGCACATTTTCCCAACCAATTAACCTGAAATAATTACATAAAAATGATTTTGTTCTAGCATATGATAAACTATAAATTAACGGTTTTGCCACAAAATATAGGCCAATATATTTTATACATTACATGAGTAGAGATTGAGATTATTATACTTTTTTGGTCATTTCTGGCTGTGTGCTACAGACCAGTCCATACATGAACGACTGCTCCGGAAGAGTGACTACATTCAGCGACTATAATTCAGCAATTATAATAATATGGATATAAGAAAAAGACATTGACACCCACTCCTCTATTTCTGAGCCTCCGTAACATTTTGTGTGTTTTATGTAAATTGTCATAGTACTTTCATTGTCATGTCATTTTATTATCATATTAAATTGTTATGAATATGTCAAAATCTGCATTTTCCTTTAAATAAGTCTATTACACTGCATGTACTTCATTTGGGAAACTCATATTTATTTTTTATTTTTCCAGGTTTTAATTAAAGAATGAAATATATTCTATTTATTATATTTTACTTCATCATATACTTCATATTTTTTAATCAAAACCACATGTATTATTAATACGTCGAGACTGGCGTGTCAGACGCACTTCATCCCTTCCAGGATAACAAACAATTGTTTTCATTGTTTTATGAATTTTGTCATTTAAATCTGTTGTCAAATGACTGGATCTCTTAAATGCTGCCGTGCATCACTTTTAAAAATAAAAGTCGTTTGTTGATTTAAGACATGGAACACCAAGAAGACTATCTGCTCCTCATAGTTCTCTGTATTTTCAGTGACGTGGTGTTCAGATCCTGTGTCACCCATTAACAGGAAGTGATTCTTGTATGTAAAGCCCAAGGGAGGCGAGGAGGAAGTACAACGGCAACATTGTGCTGGTACTATAAGATCAAAAAGCAAATTTAGAGAACTGCTAATGACCAAATATGTGTCCAACAGTTTCAAGTTTCAAGATGAATCAAGTTAGCGTGAGAGTGTAAGACTTCATTTCCTTAATCTTCAGTTAACTACGGTTAAAAACTACCGATGTGACACAATATGTCGTAAGTTGTAACAATAAGTTTTATAGCCCATAAGTTTTATAGCTACTGTTTAAATAAGGGCATCTTACTTACTTTTTTCCCCATTTCTGATTAAAACAATTATGAAAATCGGGTATAATAAACACTTTTTAAAGTATTTATTAAAAAACCCTTTTAACATCTGTTAATCGTATGTTTTAAAAAGTTCAGTTTAAAGTCACTGAAAAAAAATCACTTAGTGTAAAGTTA